TGCGGCGGGGTTAAACATGTTTTTTGAGATCTTTTCTCATTCATATTTTAAGAGTTATTCTTAGTTAAAATGATAATAAGATAATCTAGCACACAGTCCTAAAATGTGTTTTGTCGTTTGATCAAATATAAATGGAGACTTGTGTTTCTATACTGCGGATTTGTTCACCAAAAATGTTTTTTAGTGTTTTTTTAAGAAGCCTTTGAATACTTGACTTGCTTATCTGTTTGTAGATGTTACAAAGTTTAAGATAAGGAAACTAACACACAATTGATATTCTAATGCTTGCTTATTTTAAATATTGAAAGTGAATGATAGCTTTTGTAGTTTTCCACTTTTATTCAAAGAAAAGGGGATTACAAATGTCAACTTAAGATATAAACTAGTATATTAAAGAATCAATTCCCATTAACATAATGACTTCTTGAATAATCTCCTAAAAAGACAGGTGAAAAATCAATAATTTAGTTTTTGATAAATTTAAATTTAAATTCTAAGAGTAGTATGTAGTAATTTGTTTAATTATTTCAGCAGACCAGTCCACGATTTTGATAATGTTACTTCTCTTGAAATCGTAAATAGCTATACACACCTTGGTCTTTTGCTAAATTATAATGGGTCATATGTTTGTGCAAAGAAAAAACTTGTGGAACAATCGCAAAAAGCACTTTTTGCTGTATATACAAAGATCAGAAATTTACATTTACCCATTGATTTACAACTTAAATTGTTTGATTATCTTGTAGAACATATTTTATTGTATGGATCAGAAATATGGGGATTTGAAAACATTGATATAATTGAAAAAGTTCATCTACAATTTTGCAAGAGAATTTTAAATGTGAGATCAAGTACTCCAACTTTTATGGCATATGGAGAATTAGGAAGGTTTCCACTAGAAATAAAAGTAAAATTAAGAATGTTTTCGTTTTGGAGTAGAATGGCTAAAAATGAAAACAAACTTAGTAGTTCTATGTATAAGCTTATTTCTAAATTACATATTGATGATATTTGTGAATTTAAATGGGTGTCATTTGTGAAATCTATATTTGACAACTCAGGATTAGGTTATATGTTTTTCAACCAATACTTCGATTATTTAACTATTAAACCTGTTATAAAACAGATTCTTTAAGATCAGTTTCTTCAAAAGTGGTTTAGTAATATTGATAACTCGTCTCGTGGCGAATATTATAAGTTATTTAAACTCAGTTTGATCTTGAAAATTATTTACTACGTCTTCCAGAGGATAAAAGAATCTGGATTTCAAAACTTAGAACATGCAATCTTAAAATTCCTATGGAAACTGGCAGATGGTACAACATCGCTAGAACCGATTGTATATGTACCTTATGTAATGAATGTATTGGTGATAAATATCATTATTTATAGGCTATATGTATGTAATACTATTACTGAACTTCGGAAGAAATATATACCGAAATATTATACAACATATACATCTTTACTAAAAATGCAAAAGATGCTGTCATTGTGTCACTGTCAGTTATTGCATAATTTAGCTATATTTATCAAGAAACTATCTACTCTCATTTAGTAAGATGCATGTATCTTACAAGTTTTATGATCTTTAGAAAGTACACTTTTGTTATTAGTTTCCTGTCTATTCTGTCATTTATTGTATTAGATTTGTAATTTGTCCTCATGTAACACATATTTTGTGTCTGAGTGTAAATAAAGAATTTGAATTTGAAATTGATAAACCAAATCACAAAATCACCACAAATAAAACGCAATAGATTAAAGACGATTATTGTTTCTGTGCTATTATAATTAGTCGTAGTAGTAGTTGTATTATTATAATTTTTAGTGATATTATTATTATTTTTAAATTCTCGTCTTCAATACGGTTTGTTTCTGTCTAGTTTCAATATCATTTGAAACGCCAATAGATTTCTAAAATACAACTACTTGAACATCTTACATCAAGCAGTAAGACCCTGCTTCCTGGTGGAAGGTGGCGTCTCTTAACTTTACTGTAAAATTATTCCTTCATATACTGTCTGATTATGGACTTTTAATTGTTTCTGTAATGCCTAATTCTTTGTTTAACTTAAGGTGAAGAAAATAAATGGTCGATGTCATTGAAGTTTGAACTCTTAGACTAACTGAAATAAAATTGAGAATGGAAATGGGGAATATGTCAAAGAGACAACAACCCGACCAAAGAGTAGAAAACAGTCCAAGGCCGCCAATGGGTCTTCAACACAGTGAGAAAATCCCGCACACGCAGGCGGGCTTCAGCTGGCCCCTAAACAAAAACGTGTACTAGTTCAGTGAAAATGGACGTCATATTATACTCCAAAACATATAAATGAGCTAAAATTAAAAATTATACAAGACTAACAAAGGCCAGAGGCTCCTGACTTGGGACAGGCGCAAAAATGCGGCGGGGTTAAACATTTTAGTGAGATCTCAACCCTCCCCTATGCATCTAGCCAATGTAGAAAAAACCAACACACAGCAATACGCACAGTTAAACTCAGTTTAAAAGAAGTCCGAGTCCGATGTCAGAATAGGTAACAAAAGAAACTAAGCAAAATGACAATGATACATAAATGAACAAAGGACTACTAGCAGTTACTGACATGCCAGCTCCAGACCTAAATTAAACTGATTGAAAGATTATGTCTTCATGATATGAAAATCAAGCACAATCCCTCCCGTTAGAGGTTTAGTATCATACCATCATAAAATTTATGAGAAGAACATAACCCGTATCATGCCAACAACTGGTTTTAGAATAAATGTGTTTATTTTCGATGCAAAGACCCTATGAGTGAATCAATATTAATACCAAAATATGCCATCTTTAATGACCTGACAACAGCATCGTAACTATATCCCTTCTTAATAAGTCTGTTTAAGGGTTTGGTTAGCTTTTGAGGTGAATGCCGACAATTTTGTGCTTTGTAAAGAATATTACCATAAAAGATTGGGTGTGAAATACCTGAACGTATAAGATGTCTGCATGTTGATTTATATTTACGAATGATGTCCTTGTACCGATGATAAATTTAGTAAATGTTTTGACTAGTTTGTGATATCGAAAACCCCGGTGTAATAATTTTTCAGTAATACAGAGATTTCTTTCGATAAAACAAATACGTTGTTACATACACGAGTGAATCGAACAAGTTGAGATATATAATCACCATAAGATGGTGACAAGGGAACGTCACCATCTAAAAATGGATAATTAACAATAGGAAATGAAAAATCATCTCTTTTATCATAAATTTTGGTATTAAGCTTCCCGTTAAAGATATAGATATCAAGATCCAGGAAAGGGCAGTGTTCATTGTTAGTATTAGCTTTATTTAAAGTCAGTTCAGCCGGACAAATCTCTTTAGTGTACATACTGAAGTCGTCATTATTGAGAGCCAATATATCATCCAAATATCTAAAAGTGTTAATAAATTTTTTTATCAGATGTTGTTTCGATGGGTATTTGCTGATTTTAGTCATAAATTGTAACTCATAACAATATAGAAACAGGTCCGCATTAAGTGGTGCATAGTTAGTCCCCATTAGAACTTTGATAACTTGACGATATACGGAATCTCCATAGCGAACCAAAATATATCTAGTAAAAATTCAAGGGCAGTTATAGTATCAAAGCAGGTCCAATTGACATAGTTCTTTTGTTTGTTGTTACTAAAAGATGACCTAAAAGAGTCTGAACATATATATTCGCATTCTGACTTTTTAAATACCCATTTAATTATATGTGTGAGTTTTTTCTTAATAAGATTATGAGGCAAAGTGGTATATAGGGTAGAAAAATCAAAACTTTATGACGAATCATACGAAAGACCCGTTTGAGGGATCCTCCATTTTGACTTTTGAATTCTTTTTATGTGATATTAATCAAGGCTGTCATGGGACTTAGATGGCGTTTTGCCTCAAAGTTTGCACATCAAGGGCCATTACACTGCATGCAACGAAATGTGTCAAACTTGAATTGTCATGCAACATAGGAATTTTGTGACGAGTTAAAAAAAGATAATAAAAACAGGGTGAAGGAAACAACTCAACAAATTTTGCTAAACATAGACTTGTCATAAAAAAAAAACTTAAAATCACTAGCCCCCCCCCCCCCCCCCCCCCCCCCCAAAAAAAACTTCTTTGCATTAATTTTACATAAAGAACATACCAATGCAAATATAAGATCCCACCGCCAAAAAAAAAACTTCCTCAATTGAGAATTATTTTAAAACCCTTCAAAAATATTAAAATTGAATAAAAAAGACACCCAAAATATATATTACGGAGCTCGCTTAATCATTCAGATGTTCAAATGTGTAATACATGTAAATGAGCAAAACCAGATCCAGATCTATAATTAGAGCTCAAGAGCGGAATCAGAAGTGGGGTGCATCTGATGTGGATCTACTCGGCAGACATATTCCTAGGCTCCTATTTTGGCTTGGGTCTATTATATGCACAATTGAGCCGGAGACGGTTTATCCGCAATACCAAACGAGCATTCAACTTTCAGAAGTTGGAGGTATTGTATTTATTCCGTTTTACATTTGTTTCAAGTGTCGCAATATTTTCTGTTTAACCTTTAAACTTCATCATAAAATCTTTTCTTTTCCCTTCTCCCAGATTTTTTTTCATAAATTTTTCAATTCATTGTAGTTTCTTTGTCTTGCAAATCTCGATGATCCACGTTGACAATTTGTTGATGGCATGCTCTTTAATAGATAAAAAATAATTGTGATTTTGTCGTCAAATTTATAGCATTATACTGAAAGGATTTCATTAAAATGTTAACGGTTCAAACATTAAAAAAAACAATCTTGAACGTTAACATAAGCAACGTATCGGACGTAAGTGTATTTTGACCTATTTTTATTTATTTTCGGATTTTAAATGCGTGTTTTATTTGCGATATGCTTATATTTTCAGAGATACATTTCATCTGAGATTACTATAACAGTAGTCTCAGATTTCATTGAGAAAATAATGCTGTTATACCAGGTAAAACATAGACTCTCATTGTTATTGTGGGAATGTAATACATACTCCCTTTACGTTCGTTCGTTAAAATGTAAGAAAGCTCTATAAGGTCATATATTTATTTGGACAAGTACTTGAAAAGGTAAGAATTAAGAAAAGACTCGTGTGGCATGGTTAGATTAATCTCTAAATTGACGTTGTGCATGTTGAATGCATTTCATGAGTATATATTTATGACAGTTATGTGTTTTAGTGATTTATTAACATTGCAGTACTTTCCTAATGTGTTAAGAATCACCTTTTGTGCAGTTACTACCCAATTTATATTCTAAACAATCCATTATCGTTATTTAAATGTATAAGTGCTAATTTGATGAGAATAAAAGGACTATTTGTCTATCGATTTTGATAACACAAAAAAGAGTTTCTGAGATTTATGAAAATCAAATTCATTTTATAAAGTATTAGTTCACTCATTTCATCTGACTTAATAGCGATAAAAATCAAACCAGGGGCCATCCATTTTGTTTTTGGGGCAGTTAAACGATCATTTTCTGGGTATTATTTCCTATTCAATAAACTACCAGCAAACCACAGATGTATTTTGTTACATTATTCCATACAGTCACGTCAAAATCCGATTTAGAAGTGCACAAGTCAATTTCAAAAAGTTTATGACTTTTAAATAGTGTTTTATGTCATACTGCAGTTCTTTGAGCTGGCAGTATCACGATCATGTTGATTTACATTGTGTGCCACTAGCTGGTAAAATATTCAAGTTCTTCAAGTTAACAGAATGTTGTCTTCTGAGGGGATGACACGCTCTTGGGATGTCGGATATAGGTGGTTAAAAAAAGTGGGGATGTGGAATAAAGGGGTAAATATGTGAGGATGTGGGATTAGGGGGAGGGGGGGGGGGGGGGGGGGGGGGAGTGGAATCTGGGTAAAAAAGTGGAAAGTGGGAAAAAAATAACAAAAAAAAAATTGGATAATGGAAATGAGCTACCCAATGTCACTCTCTCATTTCTATGTCGCCTTGCTTATATCATGTTTTCAGACTATGAATTATAACGTATTTTTGAAGTTGATTCGTACTCAAATCAAGTTGCATAACTCATATCGGTTACACGTTATCGAAATATCAAAATTAGTTCTGGATCGTGGTTTTATCCCCATTCATCATTATAATTCAAATATATTAATAGGGCTATTGATTTAAGATTGATGTATTTGACAAATTATCAAAATAAAACCTCAGAAACATTACGTGAATTACGTAAAGCACTTATCGGATGATGTCCATGTATAACACAAGTCAAATAGTATGCCAATAATTTAACATTTATATCTATGGACTCGCTTTATCTTCAAAATTGCATTTACAAACACAATTTAGTGATCTATTAGTATGTCTTCCAAACTGTAAAGAAGTAACCATGATAAATCGGAATAAAATTATTCGTTTTGTTCCATTGTTATGCTTTTTTTACAAGTCGATATTACAGCCATTGCAGACCAAAACAAATATAGTACGAAAAATATGTGTCCAACATATACTGTTGTCTGTCAACAAATGAATTTTGAAAAAGGGATGATAATAGTTGGCTGTGTTTAGTAGGAAATTATGTCACTCTATATGTGTATGTTTAGATATGTATGAATTCCTCGCTTTTAGTACTTTCATGTTGAATCAGATCTACTTCATAACGAAAGAGTATAGAAACACGTTAACATTTACTTTTAAAGGCTACATAAATGATGTAATACAGCTCGAACCATTGTCATGAAATTTTTCCAAATCTTCGTGTTTTCATTTAGACATTCTTTTTTTTTTGCCAATAATATCATTTCTGATAACGTCTGGTATGAGGCGAAATCGAATTATGGATGTCCTGAAATATTTCAGGAGGTCCTAAATGATTTATATATGATATCATGAATTCGAATTATGGAGGTTACGAAATAATTCAGGAGTTTCTCAAATACAAAACTTTTTAACTTAATCTGCGTCTCATAGTCTAGCGACCCTTTGTCTAAATCTAGAAGGATGAATTTATAGTTTCCCTGTCTATTCATAATTTTTGTGTTAACTCTCTCAGTATTGGTAACTCCTCTTTCTCTGCAAAAAAGGGAGACTTTTATAGTGTACGACAGATAATGGGAATTGGAATAGAAAAAAAAATCTTCTTATATGTTGTCCTCTGCATTGAAAACTGAACGATATTGATCTAGTACTGACCGTTTGTTCGTGATGTAAAGCACACATTAATACGACCTCCACTAATTCAATGAATTATATAGGTTTGTCTTTTTATCTAACTAAGACATTCGGTTAAAACATAACCAATAAATACGTTTTATTTATATTATATAGTGTTATTGATGAATGACGAGCTTTATTGCTTTAAGTGCCTCATAATGTCCTCTGTAGATATCCAATGAACCTGATGTCTGTCTTAGGAAAATGTATTTCACTCTCATATATTTGCAATATAGAATTATGTCTTGATCGTGGGATATAGAATACAGCATTTTATTCATTTCAATGTAGTACATAATGTGGTGGGTATAATCGTAAGCGATTTGATTAATTATTTCATTTCGGTTAGCAATTTCTGATAGGCATTGAAATCCGTCAATACGTTCGTGTGTCATCGATCCTTTTCACGATAATTGATATTACTAGTTAATCTTTTTTTTAGCATTGTTCGCTCTTAGACAACTTAAATTTCGCTTTCTTAAACTTAACAAAAATTCTATTCTTGCAACCTGTGATATCAGTCTGTGTATTGTCGTGGCATATGCCATTGCAGTATTGTATTGACAAAAGACTCCAAACTTACTCAAGATAAGCCGGAGGCCAGAGGGTGATCTAACACTGACACACCAAGTCCGAATGGGATAACTATTTTACATCCCAGCTGTTCTAGATTAGATAAAAACCCATTTACGCTTCATAAAATCTAGTTTAGAACGCCACACAATCATTACTATATACTTTATATATTACTATATTGTATATACCTTTATGAGCCCCGGACACACTGTTTAAATATGTTAAATTAACATTGATTTGTATCCAGTCGTACTGTGTAGGGGTATGACTCGTGTGTCTATATGCTAAAGGTCTTGAGTTCGATTCCCAGCATAGACACTGAATTTTTCAACATAAATATTGATAGTTAGTCTTTTCCGTATAAATATTTCTAAGTTTTAGTATAAATTTGACATTCCCGCCAAAATGTTACAGAACAAAGGAAAGCATGCAGAACAAAGAAACTCAAGCTAGGGTGATCTGGTAGGGGTGATCCGACTCAGATCACCCCTGGTAGAACAAATGAGCTGGGATGTAATATTCGTGACTTCATTAATTAGCTGAGAAAACACAGATTAAGTTCGAATTTGGGTGGCGTCACTTTTACCGTTCTCGAGGTATGCCCTTTATAACGTTATATGCAAGCGGGGCATCATCTGTGTCCCATGGACACATTCTCCATTTATTTTTAAACCATCAGTTCATGTTAATTATCTAACCCTTATTTTTGACCGAGTGTTAAAGTTTGAAAATAAAACCCAGTTTAGAAAACAATGATTAAGCATTACCTTATAACAAAGAAATCATTAAAGGAAAGGCAAGCCAAGGAACATCGTTGTCAGCTTTGAGATTCATACTATACGCAGCTGCTACCGGAATGTTGCTACATAGAAATAAAAAGTTCACAATGCGAAAATTGAATTCCTCTCTTTTGCGTTTAGTTTAGTTTCCCACCAACCTTCACAGTTAATATCTAGATGATGCCAAGATATGAATCGGACTTAACAGTATCGGTTGTGTCTCTTATTTCAAGTTCAATTGGATAGACGTTAAGGGTATCAAATTTCAAACCTAAAATAATCAATTACAGGAAATATGCTTGTTATCTTTTCTGTAATGTTTTGGCTTTGTACATAAGATTTCATCATAGAGTTATTAAGAGAATAGGAGCAGATCATTTTACAACATTTAACTTCATGCGGGACATTAAATCAACGAAGGGACGTTAAGCAAATAACAATCAATCAATTGAATTAATTAAATTAACTGATTTTTTTATCGAAGCATTGAGTGAGAATGTCCATTTTGTGCGCTAACCACGATGAGTTGATCACTTTCTTTTGTATTGTCATGTAAAAATAATTGTCGTTTGTAACTTAATTGTTTAATTTACCTCTGTACCATCTGTATATACGCTACAATGTTTTAGATGAGATAAAGAGTGCCAAATATTTGGTCAAAGATTGACGATTTTTTCAACTTTTTACCTTTATTTATTTTATATAATAATTACACTTTATCTATAGATAACAGTTTTTATATGTGTGTTTTATGTAAATAAGAAGCAACAGTAATGTACCGATGTTTGAATCTCGTAAAACAATTTGAATATATAAACCAAGAATTAAAAAAAAAACAGGGATTTGAAACTCCAAACTGAGCGAGACCGGTTGCGTCGACAGGGTAAGTGTCTCCTGCATCACCCGCCATACCAGACTCGCGACAAGGGTTATGGCTCCTGCATCACCCGCCATACCAGACTCGCGACAAGGATTATGGCTCCTGCATCACCCGCCATACCAGACTCGCGATAAGGATTATGACACAATTGGTAAATTTGCAGATTAGACGACTATTCTGGTATTTTAGATCGTGACCGCGAAGACATGTCTATCATGAGTAGAAATCTGTCAACCAATTCGCTGTGATGATCAAAAGACTTGTATACTGTCGATTTCCGTCGTTCTTCCTCAGCACCCTACGGGAGAAGTTTTTGTGTTAGGAGCACACCCTTTTAATTAAGTCCGTATAATGTGAACATGCACGCGCGTTACATACCAATTGAGACATATAAACGCCAATCGATTCACAGCGGGTTTGCTACTACTGAAAAATAGGAAATTAACAATGTGAAAACTCAAATCATCTAGTTTGTTATAGATCTTTGCTTAAAGTAAGGTATAAGTGATAATAAAAAGTCTATTTTCTGTATGTGATTTCGTGTGTTTTTTTCACTTCAAATCATGTAAATATGCAATACGATTTTCGAATATCAATTTGTATATCGGTCCCATGTAAGAAATGAAATGGAGTATACCAATTTACTTTTGGTATCTTATGACTATCCCAGATATTCAACATTTAATCTTTAAAATCACCCAAAAGGGTTTCAGAACACTATTCACTGACCTCTAAAACCAGTTTTGAAAAAAATGCAATTGATAGTTTACAATAATACCTGGACTCTGATGTAACCTTAAATTAGAGTAAATGGTGACACAGTTAAATTGCGTCCCAGATTTCGACCCTTCACCCAAATCCTCCCTCCTTGTTTAAAAACGGAAATTTTAGAAGCGTTTGATTAAAATCACTGCTATGTTGTATTGAAATGCATTTAAATAAATGCTTTTGTGTCACAAATCATAATGTTATTACAATTCTACGTGCTTACAAGAATAAAGACAGTTCACTAAAGCCATTTGTCATTCGTCCTAGTCATGTACAGAACTGTTTCATTATTTACACAATTATTTTACGTAAAGTATTGTTTATATCCACCTGTACAAGAACATTAGGAATTTTTAACTCTACACAAGTTTTATTTGCTTTCTGATTAAATAAACTTTTATTCAATACTTTTTCAATGTACATTGTGCTTACTAATTGTCCATAAAATTTATTTGCTTTAAATTTAATTTAGGTATAGAAAGTTTATTTTAGAATCACTTTCTGTTCACCTTTAATCCCATTAGTGTTTGAATGTTGGATATAAACTATAATTAACAGTAGTTACGGTCAGACCAAAACGCAGGTTTGTTCCATTGAGAAAAACTATGATAAATTACATGTAATTAAAGTGTTTTATATTTCATTTAGATATCAATTACAGTCACAATAATTTTGAAGTTAAGATTTTTACGCGTTTTGGTTTCGATTTTTACAGATAAGGAAGCGTGTATCTCAAGTCCAGGTATTTAGTTTTTTGAGCTGTAATACATTGATGAACTAAGACGGAGTAAAATCAATGCGAGTGTATCGGCGATCAGTCGAAGCGTTATTGTGCAGTGAAGAACAATTATCACTTATTGGAACCATCTTTCTGGCTACTCTCAATCATACAATAGTATTATTTAGCTGCTATTCACTACCACAGGTAAGATCTTTTTATTTTATTACTTATCTATTTTAGCAATATTTCAAACATTTGCTCTGTCTTCGTCCTGTGCCTTAGTAATGATTTTTTTATTATTCATTATTTGTAAAAATTTGCTTTTCTTAAAACAAATCGTTTACATAATATGAAAATAACATGACATCTGTTTTAATAGTATGATTGATAGCATAATAAATACCTCACTAAAGTTTGACGACAGCGGTCGACTTTTTAAGTGGGTTGTTCTTGAGATAACAGCAAAAGAAAAATGTATTTAAATATTTTTTACTATCGGAAATATTAGTATTTTGTTATGTGTTATCACTTTATATAATTGCCGATTAGAGTATTTAATATTATAAGTTAGCCCTCAAACTGCATGATTTTGTGTGCTGCAAAATTTTAATATTAAAATTTGAATTTTTTAAACATCTATCAAAATGTCTTGAATTAAAAAGAAATTAAGCGTATCGAATTATTTGAAGAACGTCATATTTTTTTTATTAATTTAAGAATCAAGCAAACACTTCTAAAGGCATTTCCGTTTTTTTTTTAGTATTTGGTTTTCTTTTTCAGAAACTATCAATACTTTCAATCCTTCACTTATTCACACTTTTTCTTTTCAGACTTCAACGACTTTTTTTAAATTTCCCCTGAAAATGTCTTTAAAACAACACTGTTATTGAACTCGACCTAAATACATCAAAACTGCTATATCTGGTTGTATTGAATATATGTAAATGTAAAATGATGAAAAAGGATTTTAAAAAATGTAAATTAAGCATACCTCTGCATTCTACGATTTATACGATTTCATGAAGTAATTATGTTCAACTTTTTTTCACCACGGCTGTGGACTGTTAGTTCCCAGAGGTATCATCAGCTCAGTAGTCTGTGTTTTGGTGCTGATATGATTTATAACATTTTTTTCTAAAATCAGTCCCCATTGCTTATTAAGAAATTAAGGTTTCAACTTCCTAATGTAAAGTTGACCTAAGAGGAATTTGACTATTTTTTTTTAGGTTCCTTCTGGTCATATAACTCGTAAACTGTCTACGTAATTATTCATCCTTGGCTTTCAAATGTTTATGTTTTCAAGCGTTACTGATGAACGTAAATCAAGAACAGCGCTTTGGACGCACGAAATTTATAAAGAGCTATTTTCATTCAATATTCTAATACAAAATGTTATCCTAATTTTTCGATACAGTCCAGCTATTATTTAAGAATATATTGCGCAGTAAAATTATTGCATAAATTTGGATAACAATAACACAGGATTAAGACTTAAAATGAGAAGGGAAATTAGTATAACAATATAACCTGGTATCACTTATTCATACTCTTGTAAATATCTTGAAGACTTGATAGAAACAATTATCATTGCTTATGACTGTAGTTTGTATGCACACTAAGGACATTGTTCTACATGTATGACAAATACTGTAGACACTTTATACATTATACATAACAGAGTATTTTTTTTAATTTTAATTTTCAATACGAAGGGGTTTAGGTGGTCAACTTGTCAAGATAGATTGACATCTTCTTATATAGATATCGTCTTTAGCTTGCTCGTCTGAGGTTTAATCTCTGACCTGTTTAAATTAAAGACTTTGAAATTGATATCTGGTGCTTCTCCGTTTAGCATACAACACTTAGGAGGTAAAGCCTAGGCTAATCTTGTCTACTCGGAATCGGATTAATATAAAAATAAGAAGATGTGGTATTATAGCCAATGAGACAACTCTCCACCAGAGACAAATGACATAGAAGTTAGCAACTATAGGTCACCGTACGGCCTTCAACAATTAATATGTCTAATTAGGTGGACATATCTTCCTGCATGCAGTTATCTTTTGACCATGTACGTCAAAGCTAATCCTCAGCGTGCATGTGAATCTTTTACAAAGTATATTTATATGCCATTAATAGGTTAATGTCCGGAATATATGTGTGATATTTGCTGCTGGTAGTTTAGGCATTCGTCAATCAACTAATCTTCCAACATATAATATAATAGATCAGTTCAGCCTGTTTTACTGTGGTTTTGTTAATTCAATCTACATAGTAACAGTTAAATACCTGTTTTACTGTGGTTTTGTTAATTCAATCTACATAGTAACAGTCACATACCTGTTTTGCTGTGGTTTTGTTAATTCAATCTACATAGTAACAGTCAAATACCTGTTTTGCTGTGGTTTTGTTAATTCAGTCTACATAGTAACAGTCAAATACCTGTTTTACTGTGGTTTTGTTAATTCAATCTACATAGTAACAGTCAAGTACTTGTTTTACTGTGGTTTTGTTAATTCAGTCTACACAGTAACAGCTAAATATTCGTGATTAGGTCTACGGTTAACCATCAGGAACAGCTTTTTATACCTATACAAAGCCAAACAACAGAAAAAGAAAATGTCATAGATTATGTGACATAAAATGAATTAGTTCTCAGTTCCTACGTACCATTACAATGGAGCGAATCACGCGTTATTTTGAGCATAGTATGAATGATTGCATTATTTACAAGAAATAAATTGCACATCTATTGTTGCAATTGTTCGTAGACTGTGTGGAATTGTGACAACTGTCCATGCATGTGAAATCAAATTACCATGAATACGAGAAATTCATGGTCGATAATATATGAAGCAGATTTTGGGGGTCATATTGCGTTTTCTAACTTAGCTATATGTTTTGCAAAGATAACAATAATATATGTTACAAAAAACAAATTGATTTTCACAATCATTGGTAAAAAACTTCGAACCTTTTTTTTTTCTTTTCTGAAAATGACGAATAAATGATGAACACCTTAGCCTTTAACTCTTACATGTCTTATAAGAAAACTATATCATAAAACAAGTCTTTTTGTATTATACGTTACATCTTTTCACCGCTTTTCACTGGCATTGAAACCATAACGAGATCATTACCTAGCATTGTTTCAAGTTTGGTAAACATTTGATCTACGATCTAAGTTTTGGTATGATAACAACGGTCGGTCAAACGGATTAGAATATTCCTTGTGAGAAGATAATAACTAACGAATGAAAATTACCAATTGAAATACAAATGGTTCAAAGCTAACAAAACAAATAATAATCACCCAACTACAGTTACTTGTTTGCTAATTCCTCTCTGATGGCAGGTTACTCCATTGATCAGATACCGCGGTATTCTGACAGGAAGAAATTAGTACAGAAATTGACATTTACAAGCTTTATGAAGATGAATGTCAGTCGATTTTATTTTTTTTGTTTATTTGTTTTTCAACTTATTTATATAACATAAGATTACATGAGACAAAATCAGAAACCCATCCAACAATTTCAAAGTGTAAAAAAGAGTCAAGCAGCCTTATATTTACTTCTATGTCATTTGATCTCTGGTGGAGAGTAGTCTCATTGGCAATCATACCACATCTTCTCCTTTTTATATTATATGCCGTTTTACATATTACTTCAGGTTTAAAATTCATTATATCTTATTATTAAATGCTATAAAACTATTATCAGTGCTGATACTGTCAAAATACTTTAAAAGATACTACTATCTAATTACTGTCTTACTGAACATGTAAGCGATATATAAATAAACGTTTGATTACGATAATTGTGTTTTTAGATAAATGTTTAAAAAAATAGATTTACTTCCTTCGTAAGTGAAGAACATGTAGATTCCAACTTAGAACTAAGACTCCAAGTGTGTGTGGGGGAGTGGGGAGGGTCAACTCTTAAAACGAATTAGACTGTACTGACTTTTTTATTTTTATGCTCTCAAATACATATGAATCTTTTGGAGTTCGGTATTTTTTTCTAATACTTTTTTAATTTTCATTTTTGGCTTTTCAAACTTTTGGTTTCGATCGTACCCTGATAAGGTTTTCCCAAAACTCTTAAATCCGGTATCATACTTTTCTTTTTGATCTATTTTGATTAATCAATTGATTGATATATTGATCTAGTTTGATTAATCAATTGAGTGATTGATCGATCAATTAATTATTGAGTAATTAATTGATTGATTGATTTATTAATTATTGATTGTTGTTTGATTAACATAAAAATGCTTATATTTCATTCGTAGTCTGTACAAGACACATTAGCAATAAAACAAGTAGATATACTCGACAGTAAGAATAGCGGAAATTTTTGACTGTTTTTGGAATATGAAATCATGTTGGTTATGGGCAGATGTTTTGGTGAAAGTATTCTTTAACCTGTATATGCACTTTCCCTAAACAAGTCATCGGATTTAAAGTCCCAATCCCGACAGAACGTGGCTGAGTTTTTATACATTCTGCATAATAAAACGGAAGCTCCATTCGGGGAAATCGTTCTCCGAAGGCGAAGAATCTTGTATCAATTTCTGTCTCTCGGAGCTATTCATTTGAAGAATTGAAAAAAGTCTTGGGATACAGTGTATGTGAAGTTAAGTAATTTTCACGTATTCTTGATGTAGAATATTACAAACAGTGAGTCGGAGAGGCTCTTGAAAGTTTTGACACCATAAACAAAGTTTAAATTACTTGTGTGCTTCAGCACTTCTCAATCTGCAGTTATTATGTATTTGAATAAATTGTGAAAGTTTTTTGAAGTTCATTTTAAAACGTCTGTTACTATGTAATCCAATTTAGGGTTATACAAGTACGTTTCCCCCATTATTTTAGTTTTTGTATCATTTTTAATAATACATGGATTATCGCTTGTTCTGCACGATGGAAAGTACGAGCAGCTTAACCCCTAGAACATCTGTAAAACACACGATCTTATAATCATTATTGTGCTCCTTACCATGGTTTATCATTCTATCAAAACATCGACCTGCCTAAGTAGAAACATATTTTTATACATCGAGATTTTTGCTAGACTGATTAACAAATTAGAAGTATTATGTTAATAATTCACTAGATGGTCATTCTGGCGTTCATAATTTTATCCTATGGGCCAAATTTGTAACACCTGCATCCATTCATGATACATATTATCTGTCTATTT